GCAAGGCCTTACCAGATATCTACTTACACGATTTTGTTCGCTCATGTAGTATACATATTTCAGGTTTGTCGCAGTGGATCCAGCTTTCATCGCACCAGGCACCACTTCGTGTGGTGGTACCAGTAAGGTTAAATGGACCAAGTATAGTGCATAATATTTTGTCCAAAAGCTCCTTCTAATTCACAGCACACAGTCGACAGGTCGAATGTAGGTCTCAGTGCGTTTTACACTCAGCATGTTGGCACTGATCCATCCTGCAGGGCTCATAGCAGCAAGAGCAACCGCTCTACTCACAGACGCCTTAATTCTCATCCTGACTTGGATTAAATTAGCCCAACATCGCAAGGCTTTACTACGTAATCTTTCAAGTTCACGGGTCTCCACAGTTTTGGTAAAGGATAGTTCGTATCCATTATCATCAACTATCAACGGTATACTCATTGAATCCAGCGGGCATATATTTTGGGTGTGCCACTTTCCATGCAGGATAGCAACTGCAACGACGGGCTGAGTCCCGTGCACAGATTGCTTTCTATTGTGAACACCATTGGGATAATCGTGGGAAGGTTACTCTTTGTGAGTCCCAGCTCACACAGTGACTCGTGAATGCTAAGACTCGGTTATATTTAGTATGCTACAGTCATGGCCGACATATCTACCACGTGAGCACACAGCAATAGATTCGAAAGTTTAGCAATCTCAGGTTTTGGAAGTCTGACAGCCATTTTGTCATGCCGCCTCCTGCTTGACATACGAGAGCTGTCCGATTCGACACAAGTAGAGAATTCTCTCTTCAAAATGGTGGAATCAGCCCTGCTTGGCGTAGCTTCAGGTACGACAGGTCGTCGACAGTCGTCTTTCTCCTACTGAGTTGCCATGGTTTTCGTGCTCAGAAGAACAATTCAAAGAGGGGGAGGATAGTGTAACCATCATCTCTAATGCTGACTTTGAACTTGCAGACATAAGCGGTCAAACCCCAGATCACGTCGAGCCCGCGAGCGGTGACAATCAGCCGCTGCATACACTTCCTGCCCCTTAATTTGACCCTTTGTATTAGTTTTGGGAGGCCTATCAGTGGCTGCTTCAATGCGTGATAATGCAGTTTCAGGAATAGCGTCTCGCGCTGTATATTCCACTGCATCGGCAACGGTCGAGCGCTGCATTGACAACCAATATCTGAGGGCTCGATTTTTGCTGATGTGCAACAGTAGTGTGCAATTGGAATCTCATTCCTGAAATCAGATTTGTACATTGTACCTACTCTGTTGGGTATCGCACACTGGTGGCGCTCGCGCCGGCTGCCTCGAGCTGAGTCACAGTGGTAGATTGGAAAATCATAGTTCCCGGCTGTCCGATTGTTCAGTACCGATCGTTGAGCTCGAGGATCGACCCCTTGGACCTCGCTTGAATTTTGAACCAGAGTGAATGGCGATTGAATTACGATCAGATCCACAACCCTCGTGAGTGACTAAAATTGATGTCTTCACCAGGTCAAATCATTCGAATGGAAGGTGTTACAGCGACTTCATGTGTTCTGAGTTATGATACATCGCGATGTTTGATATAACCTCTTTGGTACTAGGCCAGTGCAGTACTGATCGGGTGAAGCAGCACTGGTCACTGGCGACCAACATCTAAGCTAGCTAGAGAAACCGGATATGTACAAATTGTACTGTGGTGCAACGAAAGCAGAGCGAAAAAGACAACGAGAACCGTGGCTGAAAATATCATGAATCGTGCAATCTACGAATGAAAACCAGATAAATTAAGTAGGACCTCCATCATCGGAGCCATCCCATGATCGCTTCATGGGGAGTTGGTTTATTGAGTACAACGGTAGTTCACCGTCATGATATGCGACAGACCGCTGTCTCCACTCGTGCTGCCGACGATCATCTACCCGCGGGGAAGAGTATTGCAGCTCATCGGAATAGTATGAACCCTGCGACTGTTGCAGAATAGGATGTGAGAGTTGAAGCTGCGGATGCAAGGGGGGTTGAGGCTGAGCCAACAGCACCGGGGAGTGACAAGTCCTGCCGGTAACTGTCTGCTCGAGGGTAGCGATTTCCTCCATCATGCGTTGGTTCGCATACTTCAGCTGTTGCAGCTCATACTGCCAGCTACTTCCTCTCGCGATCCTCAGCTCGTCGAAAACGCTGTCGCCCAGTGGATGCACGATATATCCAGCGCGAGGTATCGTCAACGACGAATGGTCGCAGAGTTTGATCTGGCATACGACTGGGCTGGGAAAGTTCTGCCTATGTGAGCCATATGGTGATGAAGAACCATCGCACCATGAGATGAGCTCATTGCTGTCTTGGGAACGATACAAAATCATTTGTACGACAACCTGAGCTCCGTCTTTTCGCTTCATCTCGCACGTCGTACTCCTGGTATCCAAGATTGCATCAGCAGCAGACACACGAGCTAGCTCTTCTTGAATACTCTGCTGTTGGCTTGCGGAAGACGATCCGCATACAAAGTCGTTCACGGTCCTCCCGATAACTTCTCCTGTGCCCCAGCCGAGTACGTCCCGCACAGCCATGCTGACGAACAAGAAAGTCCCATGTCTGCTCAGTAGGCCCCAGAACTCCGTCTCAACCTCACCATTCTCATCGTCTTCAGTAGACGCACCCGCCGCCGTTCCCGAACATGGTACAGGAACAGACAGTCCACCAGCGCGGGCGATAGGGCTCCAATTCAATCGGGGGATATTGCGGATTCGACCGCTGAGAATGATCGCCTTTCGCCCCTTTCCGGGCTCAATGTGTAGTCGCCCCCTGCATTCGACCCAGACCATATTTCCTGCTTTAGTGGACATCCTAAAGAGCAGGTCGACTCGCCTAGGATTGCCATGCGACTCACTACTTGTGACATGTGCACTGCTGGGCCCAGGAGTTATCGAACTTTCTTTCAGCTCGCGCATGAGAGGAACGACGTCTGCGGGGTGACAGAAGTCCACGAGAGACTTGCCGACAAGATCTTCAGGCGTGTACCCAAGGACACGTCGTACGGCCGGGGCAACGTATAGGAAGGCGCCTTTGAGAGAAACGACATGTATGAAATCCAGGGTACTCTCGAGCAGCATCATATTCAACGGCTGGTTCCCATCGTATTGGTCAGGCTTGTCTCCTGCAGCAGGCGCAAGTGGGAATACGGTGGACGCATAGATTGGAATAGAATCGACGAACGCGGAATCGGAAAGAAGTGTGTGAAGCTCGTTAGAGACGCCACGCATTGCTGCCGAGTTGGTTCGCCAGTTACGCACAATGCCGGTGGATGGAGATGAGAAGGAATGCTTCCGGCTATAATCAACAAGAAAGGTGCCATCCTTGAGTTTTTGCAAAATGGCATTAGGCTGCTCTGTGAGATCCACCTGGAATCCAACGTGATAGACGATGTCATCGATTTCGTCTGGGCCATTATTCACGCCTCCAGTGATAGGTACGACCGTCACCAGGTTGATGAATGCCGTACCGCCCTTCCTGTAATTAACAATGCTGGTCTGACACTCCTTCCCCTGTGCCAAACACTGCTTGAGATTCATCACGGCCTCTGGCGATGTGTGTCGCCGCAGTTCGCCTCGCTGAACGCGCCCATCAGGAGATTGCAAAAAGCGGCAATTTCTGCCGAGGATCTCGTGTTCCTCATATCCAGTGAGTTTGCAAAATGTGGGGGACACATATACTAGGAGAGATGGCGGTCAGATGTACAGTAGAAGCCGATACGGACAAAACGTACCTATCGGCGAATCATAGCGGCGAACGTCCGACACAACGAATGAACATGTCATGTCCACCGGACCTAGGACGATCTTGGGATCCGGACGAGAAGCCACACGGCTCAGTATGGAAAGCAGGTCAAAGCCAGTAGTGGAATAAACAGGCAAGCCGTAGGACGAAGGTATGGGCAACGGCAAAGATGGAGGGACGTAAGGATTTTGAGAAAGTGAGGCCGGTAGCTGAGGCGCAGGGACGGAAACGAGTGATGCACAACTAGATGCATGTGAAGCGGGAAGGTACGAGTGCCGATAAGATTGCGGAAGCGTGTGATCAGAGGAGAATGAGCGATTTGATGACGGGTATTGGTGCGAAAACGAAAGCTGCTGGGAGAGAGCGGGGAGCTGAAGCCCTTGCTGATGTAGATTGTGTGGGGGATATTGTTGGTATTTATGTGCGGCGGAGCCGGATGCTCTGGTGGGATAGATGTAACATCCAAGAGGGGAGTTAGAGAATAGGACTCACAGGTTATCAGAGTACTTGCTATGTGCAGGGTCAGAAAACCAGGAGGATGTAAGGGAGGCGGTGGAAGGGAGGAAGCCCGGCGGGAGGACCTCGGCGCCGCCTCCTGGGGCAAGGGTGGGGGCACCGAGGATGAGGGTGGGGACCTGGAATTGGACGTTGTTTGAAAATGTCGAAGAGTCCACGCCGAGGGCGACATCGCGAGGATCGTGGTTGTAGCTTTCGAGGACAGGGCCTGGGACAGGGGCCGCCTCGAGATACCTCTGAAAAGGCATTTGGGGAGGCAGACGGGAGGCTAGAGTAGGGCTGGAGAAATAGGCGTGGGCGAGGGCATGGGCGAGGCGAGGGGAACGGAAAGGGTGGAGGAGATGATGAAGAGGAGGAATGAATGGGCGTAAATTGCCGAGGGGGAGCAATGGACGCGTGCCCGAAGGTGGGCCATCTATGTCCCGAAAACGGCAGTCGAAGCAAGCATGTGGGCCCTTATGGGACCTGTCAGGACCCCGGGTGGCCCCGTCCTGGCGCAGCCTCGGAGTGCCGCTGTACGAGGATATGGCATCTCCGCGACTTGTGTTCGCTACAATCCCAGGCTAGACGACGGGACGTGCCACTCAACCAGCGGGAGGAAGATCGCGCTGGGCGGGACCAGGGGTCCTGCAGCGGGGGGGACTTCGAGTCCGCGCATTTCGGATGGCGGGGCCTCCCCAGCCACCGCTGTCCCTTGCCTGCGGACCCCGGCCGGCCGATGACATTCGCATCCGCCTGCTCCCTGCCCGAGACCCCCGAGGGGCTTGCTTATGTGTGTGCGCGGGAGGCGGAGTGCACGTCGCTCCTAAGCTGACAGGAACCGCCCAACAAGTGACGTCCGATCCTGATCCTCCTCCGTCCGCCGTAAATCGTCGCTCCAATCGGCCTACTACCTACGGCAACCCTCCTCCTCTCCTGCGCATGGCAACCCTCTTTCTCTACTCCTCACCCCATCTCTCATTTCTGTTTCTCCTCTCATCATCGCACCGACGCCCTGTCACCCCAACAGCGCAACAGAGCCGCACACGCTCGTTCAGTGACTGAAACTCGTGATCGTCGGCGGGGTGCTCTCCACCTCCATATCCCGAGCTCATTCCTTCAGGTTGTCGCTGACTGAAACCCCACTCGCCCTAGTCTCAGAAGAGTTACGATCTTGCGTTTCATCTAATGTGCCCATCCCACTCTCCGCCATTCCTGATCCCCTTCATGGTTGGTTGGTACATGTGGTATACGACTGACTACCTTTGCGGCTCTATACCCGCATTCTCCGCACCCCACATTTCGTTTCGTTTTGGGACCCACTGTAGGGTCGCACATACTTAGCGTCCTTGAAATACAAGACGTAGTACTTGCAATCCTGTCCCCGCGCGTGTCCTCTAGGCTCCGTCTTGTCCCTGCTCGCCTGTTATGGAAACGCAGCGCCCACGCCCCGCCGCTGACTTAGGTAAGTTTGTGAGCGTAGCACCCAAATTAGGCATAGAGCGTCTTGCGTATAGCTTGGAATTTGAGCGGGCCGGCGGGGGTTGGGCGGGGAACAACTTGTGTCGAAACGCGCCGGGACTCTACGGAAACTCAGTCACGATCCCGCCATTGCCCTGCGCTTGTAGTCGACGTGGGGTTGCTCGGGGCTGCTCAAACCGGCTTGTCAGAGTGGTCGTGGGCAGCATCTGGGCGCGAATAATGTCGACGAAGACACCCCGGCTCTGTCAACCAGCTCTCAGACCGTGATCATAGCAATTGCGGTGGTTTCAAGCGATGACGTAAGGTCACATGATCGCGATCGATATATCGTAGTCGCGTCTATGATTGCAGGCGCCGATAGCGCGGGTCCCAGACTATATCTTCTCCTCCGTGCTCTACCATCTGCATCGTCCCCAGCCTCCAGTCCCCTACTCTTTCAAATCTTCAAATAACATGGGTGTACTTGACATTGTCCCTGTACGTTGATATACTTAGTCAATCTCGCCTGCAACTCACAGTAATTCCAGGCCGGTGTCTTGACTGGCGACAACGTCCGCAAGCTTTTCGAGTATGCAAAGGAGCAACAGGTGCGTGTTTTCCTCTCTCAAACCACTGTTTTATCCATCTTGTCTCTTTAGTTTGCCATTCCCGTGAGTTTCGCCACCACCTTCCCATTTCTTGCTTACACAATGGTCATACTGCTGCAAACGTCAGGCCATCGTAAGTTTACCTCTTCTATTTCTTCGTGCAGCTAGCATAGTTTATCGTGTAATTATTGTAGAACGTGACATCCTCTTCAACTGCGAATGCGGTGCTTGAGGCTGCCCGGTTAGCCATCTCCCCTATCTCCGCTCCGCTGCGCCGCATTCAATCTCGTCTGGTCTAGTGACATCAAGAGCCCCATCATCATCCAAGTCTCGCAGGGTGGCTCGGCCTACTTTGCTGGAAAAGGTCTTGCCAACGACAAGCAGCAAGCCTCTATCGCGGGCGCCGTCGCCGCTGCCCACCACGTCCGCATCCTTGCAAAGGAATATGGCGTGTAAGCATTACATCATATTCTCTATTTCTGAATTTCTCCGAGCCCGTCTATCCGTCTAGTCCCGTAGTGCTACACTCAGACCATTGTGCGAAGAAGTTGCTGCCGTGGTTTGACGGCATGCTCAAAGCCGACGAAGACTACTACAAAGTGCACCAGGAGCCGCTCTTCTCGTCGCACATGCTCGACCTCTCCGAGGAGTCCAAGGAGGAGAACATCGAGACCTGTGTAGCCTACTTCAAGCGCATGGCACCCATTGGCCTGTGGCTCGAGATGGAGATTGGCATCACTGGCGGTGAGGAGGACGGTGTCGACAACACCGGCGTAGATAGCAGCCGGCTCTACACGCAGCCCCCAGACATCTATGACGTGCACACCGCACTAGCCGCCATCAGCCCGAACTTCAGCATAGCGGCTGCCTTCGGTAACGTACATGGCGTTTACAAGCCCGGCAATGTGCGTCTACACCCTGAGCTGCTCCAGAAGCACCAGCTATATGCGGAAGAAAAGACCGGCAAGAAGAAGCCTCTGTGAGTATAGTGCGTATATGCACCCATGGCCGCACTGACAGTTGCGCTGGCCCGCGTAGTTTCCTCGTCTTCCACGGTGGCTCTGGTTCCACGAAAGAGGAGATCAAGACAGCCGTGGAGAACGGCGTCGTCAAGATGAACGTGGACACGGGTAAACAGACTTGCCTCAGCACGTTGGTACCTCTCGCTGACCCATATCTTGTCACTATTGCTAGACACGCAATTCGCTTACCTAGTCGGTATCCGGGTAAGTGTCCCATTCCTGTCAAGAGACAGTCCGGGCGTTCATCAGCGATTATTATCTAGGATTTTGTCCAGAACAAGTCTGGCTACCTCCAGTCCCAGGTTGGCAACCCTGAAGGTGCAGATAAGCCCAACAAGAAGGTTTGTCTAGCCTGGATGTGGCGGTCTCGTTCGGAAGCTAATATATCAACAGTACTATGATCCCCGTGTCTGGGTCCGCGAGGGAGAGAAGACCTTGACGGCGCGCGTCAAGGAGGCGTGCGCTGACCTCGGCAACGTCAGTGCGTATCAGTTTCACATTCCTGCCTGCGGCGTTAGTTTCAATCACTGACGACATCACATGATATCAGGCCGCCTGTGATGTTTCCATTGGCGGCGTATTAGCGAAAACGAAGAAAGAAGCTTGTTGTACATGTACGATGTAGTGAACTTTACCAATACGATGCAGTTTTCCCTGTGATATCACTTTTCACGCTCCGCCTCCTCATATTTGCGGTAAATTAGAGCTCCGCTCAAAAAAAAAAGACGACCTGTCGGCAAGACCCTGCGCTACAGAGCACACTATGTACTAAAGATATAGCCTATCACTTACGACGAACGCATTTTAGTATGGCTAGCTTACAAGGCTACGTTGACCGTAAGTCTCCACTCTCCTATGCTTTGCTCTCTTGATCTGTATCCATTAAATTTGTTGAAGGGATTGCGGTCTTACTTGCTCCGTATACATCTCAGATTGTGTTCTGCTCATCCTCCAGGATGGTCGTTCGATTATAGTGCGTCATTATGCATGAATATAATCGTGTTCGGCGGCTCACGTATGCTCCCCTCGGCCCTGCTTTCTTCAGGGTGTCATGGCTGGGTACGACCAGAAATCGAATGTGGTCTTGTCGGATTCGAAGGAGCGCGTTTATAGCGCAGACGAGGGTGTCGAGGAAATCCCTCTGGGCCTCTATCTTGTAAAGGGTGACCAGATGTACGTGTGCCTGCTCCATATGTCTTCGCGACCTGTCGTCTAAAAGGATCTCGCTAGTGTCTTGATCGGTGAAGTCAATGAAGCACTTGACCAGTCCGTCGATTTGGCGACAATACGCGCCGAGCCGCTACCTCCAATTCGTTATTGATGTTTGCGGAAAGCACGACTCACGTTTTTTGGACCGCTACAGGCTCGCGAGTCCCTAGGCTTAGTGGCCGTCATGGAAGGGAGCGGCACAAAAGGCCTCCTACACCACACCGGTAACGCGCAATGTGAGACGAGTGAAGATAGGCCAATCAAGCGCGTTGTGGATGTCATTGGTATGAGTATTTGGACAGGAGGTATATTGAAGCGAAGGTTTACACTCGTTCTTCAATCACGCAAATTACAATACCTTCTGATAGCGTCGCCGTGTCTCTGTAGTCCACATTCCCGAGGTTCGTAATCTGGAGTTGCTATATGGCAAAGCACTATTCAAATAACGTAAAAATATAAGATAAATGAAATGATGAAGATTGTATGTTGATTGTGATATATGTTACATGCCCGACGTGCAAGGTCGTTAAGTACAGCGCTGTGTGATTATGACGGTGCAATACAGTGCGATGGTATACTAACAATAGCAGTCCAATTGATCGTTGATCGTTTCTCCCTCACGGCAATGGCTCGCGATTGCTCGACAGCCGATTGAGGTGGATGTACACATCCGTTCCGAATCCGTCCATTGAGATTAGCCTAAGATCACCCCCGAAATACCGCGCATACTGAAACGACCAAGTGATCAGTTTCTGCTACATCGTTCACATCATTGAAAGGAGAACACAGACCAGTCGCGACAAGGGAAGCCCGTACCCGAACCCGGCCATAGGTGCCTTGAAATCACTCGCCTGAAAATCTTGATCGATATTCTGTCCCTCCATGGTCGTATACATATATGTCCAGATGAGCGGAATGGCGCTCCGCGGAATGCCCCCTCCCTCATCGGAAATCTTGACCGTGATGTCTTCCTTACCCTCTACGACGATTACCTTGATGGGAGGAAAATGGTCTTCGTTCTCTGGCCCGTACCGCTCCACAACGGCACGCAGGGAGTTCTTCAAAAGTTCAAAACAGATGTGAGAAAGATGACCCGGCACATATGGAAAGTGCAGGTCGTTCGGACAGATGAGCTGCACCGGTGGTCCCTTGAACATGGCATAATGTTCCTCGCAGACAAAGCTAACAGAACAATTGAAAAGATGCAGAAGCCTGTTGGTCATAGACACCTACCGAGCATTCTCGATCGCCTCCTGGACAATATCATGTACATTCTGTGATACGCGGAGTTAGAAGACATGAGGAAGACAGTACATTGAGCGGACATACTGCACGCGTACAAATGATTCCAACATAGTCCGGATGGGGTTGTAAGGTGTTGAGAGCAATGTCTGTATGAACCTCAGTGCTGAGGTCTGTTGAAACCACCCGACCAGTACTTACGCTGGCCTATAAGGAACCGGATGCCTATACGCGAGAGGTAGAATCGGTCTAGCCAATGCTGCACATCGAGATTGATATTCCGGGCATTCTGACTGCGCTTCCACTCAAGCACGCCCTGTGCGACCGTAGTCACCGTGGGGTCGTGCCGCCGCTTAATGGACTCGAGTTGTTTCGTGAAGCGGCGATTAAAATCTTGAACCTCGGGTGGCCAGTTTATAGATGAGGTATCTGCGTAATATCTGTCGAGGCAGTCAGTAAGCAAGAACGTGATGACTGCTTCGCCGCGCACCGTCTTTCCATCGGTACACGCAACTTTGTGCTAAACCCGTTTGCATTTCCGCTCCCGCTCTGGGAACTGGACGCACTGCTAAACCCATTCTCCAGCGGAATGCCATAATCATCGGCGCCGAAGTAAGGCTGGGAGGGATTTGGCGTGGACTCTGGGAGGGTAATCTCGGTAGGGGCTACCGCAAGTGCTTCCCGAATAGAGGAGGGCAACTTGGGTGACGGAAATGAAATAAGCTCCTATTCGATTCAGTGGTGTTAGTGTAAGGAAGGGACAAACAATTATGATGCCGTGGGGCAGAACGGACCTCGAATGACTGAGCATACCAATCCTTGACTTTGCAAATCGAGGGCATTACGCTGAGATTGTGAGGGAGCTGGTCCAGTTCTTTCACCCTGTGAGCCAGACGAACAGGGAGTTCCTCTGCCACAGTATGAATATAATGAGCCACATGAAGACGCAGGTGTTCGTACCGAGCAAGAATTGGCTGGCTCTGAGAAGGGTTCCCTGGCTGGGGTTCTGCCCGAACCGCACCATTTGCTGCAGAGACACTGTGCATGGGGAAGGGTGAATCATCCGAGAGGGTACGAACGTTGCCACTGACCGCCTGTCTGGGGGAAGGAGGCATAGTGATGGATCCTCTCCCATAAGCCCGGTGTTATGCGGAACATCGTTGGGAGTGGGGGGCGAGTGGGAAGGTGGTCAGTGCATGCGCTTGTGGCCTGTGCAAGACGGCGAGGAGAGGTGGAAGGACGAGAGGACGAGTCACATGCGAGCTGGAACTGCAATCGAGGCAAGGCGAGTGCAAGTCCGAATCCCGATTGCCGCACCCCTTAGACGCCCACCCGCCACCGTTTCAAGGCGACAAGGCTTTCACATGTTTCGTGTTCCCCAGCCACTCCTCGCCTCCGACGCAACCGTCTTCAAGATGGCCCATCCGCACACCAATTTCACTCTTACGCTACATGCGCAGGCTATACAAGTACATGCACCCGTCCCCCTGTTCACCTCATCCCTGTCTCACGCGTGTCACCGCTCTACTACCACCGCTTACGCCGGCTTCCACTCAAAGTGGTGTTGTCCTTTACACCCGACCAGTGTCAGCCGCTCTTCCTACTTCGCACCCGCAAATTCTCACCTTTTTTGACCTCACCCGGCCCATCGCACTTCAGATCGTACGAGTGCGCGCCAAAGTAGTCCATCTCTGCTTCCATGAACTGGCTTGGCAGGTGCTTTCCGGCGCAATACTTGTAGTACTCAAGACTGGCACTCAACGCAGGACTGACAGAGCGACAAGCTGCCGCATCAACATGTCGTCGCCACAAACGAGATCTGAGCTCACATGTGTGCGTTCCATTCGATCGCTGTGACAACCACCTTCTTCAGTGCCGGCAACGTACGCCGGACCTCCTCTCCGACAGGCCTTAGTGTGAGTATATTGGTCAGCTTGCACTCCTTCTCGAGAAGCGGCTGCAGGAGGTCAGCGATGTATTCGGAACGAATGATACACCCCTCTCGCCAGATGCGGATGCAACTCGCGAGGTCCACACCCCAGCCTTCATCCGCGCTAGCACGAGCAATCAAATTGAGCCCTTGGGCGAACGACGCCAGGCATGCGCAATATACGGCGAGGCGGAGATCTTCCACAAATGCTTTACAGAACACCTCATCGACTTGTTGTTTCCTGGCTGCACCGAGGGATTCCCCAAGATTATCAACAACAGAAAGCCTCTGGGCCCGATCCGCAGACGCAATGCGAAAAAAATGGGCGCTGGCTATAGTAGGTGCAGAGACATGACGTTTTGTTGCTTCCATAACGGACCATATTCCGGTCCCTAAGAGCCGACAAGTGAGTTGTCGGACTACACTGTGAAATATCGGCCAAACAAACCTTCCGTCTCATCAGCATCTTGTACGACCTTGTCCTGCACCTCGTTCAGGACGTGACTCGGATGATTGTTCGGGTGGTGACGTCCACAGATTTCTGCTCCAATATTGATCAAGAAATTACGTTTCTGGCCGTAAGATGAGTTCAAAATCCCTCTTATCTCGAAATGTTCTCACCAGTTCGCCTTCAGAGCCCCATTCCATGAAAATTTTGGAAATAGTATCCAAATCGATGTTGAGGCATTTGTACATCAACTCCCAGGCTTCATTGACAATACCTAGAATACCCTGTTCGATACCATTGTGGATCATCTTCACATAGTGTCCACAACCGGCCGGTCCCAAATTCACAACGCATGGCAGTCCCGTCTTTGGATCCTTCGCGGCAAATTTTTCTAGCAATGGCATGACTGAATCAAGTGCCCTCTTGTCCCCACTAGGTGAAATGGAAGGACCACGACGAGCAGACTGGTATCCTCCCGAAACACCCATGGAGATATACGAGACGCCATGGGGCTGAAGGTATTTTTGACGACGCTCAGCATTTAAATACCACTCGTTGCCTCCATCAAGGATGATGTCTCCCTCGGCGAGGTGGTCGCGGATGTCCTCGATGATCTTGTCGGCCGCGCTACCGTGGGGGATGCTGAACACGAGGAGCTTGGGCATGCCAGTGCCACCGAGGCTCTCCATGAAGGGCTTATACTCTTTGAACAAAGTGATGCAGTCGCGGTATTTCGCGTCGAGCCCGCCTTCGAAGACGGTCGGAAGAGCGTCTATATTTTCGGGTTTGACGTCGAAGATGGACACTTGAAGGCCGTTTTCGGTGAAGAGCATAGCCAGATTAGAGCCCATGGATCCTGCGCCTACAACGCCCATCTACAATATTGTGTGAGTTATGCGTCCATCCATGCGGGAGAGCACAATCGAACCTTGGAAAATGGTTGTGACATAGTGTTGGCGAATTGTAAGAGATGGTAGTGAAGAGAAGAATGGCTAGTTTCAGTGTTCCTGTGGGTGTATATTGCGTTAGTGTAAGGACGGGATACACTTGTCGTACGTCGCCTCCCAGTGATTGGGAGCTCGCAGTTAGTATCGACGTCATACCTCACGGCCCATTCTCACGTGCTTTTGAGCAGCCTTCAACCTGTTCAAGGTGAGATTGCATACAGGGCTCTATTACAAACCTGAGTACTGTAACTATACTTGATGATGGTACATATTATTGTCCGTATGTGCACCTCCCGGGTATCTCATCGTGTATACCTCCCACCGAAACATCATTGGGCACGAGGACGAGTGACTTCTTCGTAAATTAGTTCTGCGAAGCCAGCACCATGATCAGACTCCAGGAAGAAATCAATGTTGGACGAAGGACGTGCCTTTAAGTCGTTCTTTGCCCAGCGGGTCGCCATAGTCAAAATCAAAAAACAAGGGGTCTAGTGGCTCCGCCGTTGGCTCGTCCTGTGGGTCGTGATATGCCTTATCACGCAAGCTTAATTGACACTAGCCCCATGGAGAATTGCAGTCGAGCTTACCTCTAGATATGGGTGTTTAAGAGCTTCCTCAACTTCAATCCTTCTCTTCGGGCTGAAAGTCAAGCACTTTTCCATGAGATCAAGAGCCTATATATGTCTAGGTTATCCAAGTGCTTATATGACAAAAAGCGGACACACCAAAGGGTTCGCATTCGGGAACAAGGTGTTAAACGGCTTCTTCTTCCTGAACGGTAGCGCGCGGATATATTCTCTTGATCGCTGAGATGTTATCGCGTAGAAATCATCTAGAGATGGCGTCCCAAGAACATCGAGAATGATAGAGAGCTGGTGGTGGTCTGAGCAGCCACAGTGCGGTCACTTTAGCGAATGCTGTCCACGGTTTTTAGAAAAAAATTACACACAATCTCTGCCTGGAAAAAGTGGCTTCCCGCTGAGCATTTCGGCCAAAACGCATCCCACACTCCAAATATCGATTGCACGGGTATATTCTTTGAACGTGAGCATAACCTCCGGCGCTCTGTACCATCTACAGAGTCATCCGTAAGTTGGATGATGTAATGACAATAGACGGCGATTAGTTATCAGTGAGCATCACATAACGACATTAGCAGATACCTGGTAGCAACATATTCGGTCATAAAGGTGCTGCTATCGTTCTCTACATTAGGTGGCGGTCGAGCAGAGCGCGCCAACCCGAAATCACAAAGCTGTGCAGAAGTCAGCCTGTGATACCCGAAAACACTACGAAATTTGTAGCGGTATGCAGGCTCGTTGGCAGTACACTCACTTTCAAGTCACAATTAGCATTGAGGAGTAAATTAGATGGCTTCAGATCGCGATGTAAAACGTCAGCGGAATGAAGAGCCTTCAAGGCTCGCAACGTCTGGTGATAGGAATGTCGTCGCAGACGGGCGATCAGGTAAGCAGACATTCACTTTTCGTAGAAGGACGAAATGAGCCGGGCAACAGACCTGGTAAATAAAGTATTGGCAATGATCGTCACTCAGCTCTTGTGTCCGTATGACCCGATGAAGATCCGTCTCCATCAACTCCTGGACGAGGTATACCTCCCTGAATTCCGCCAAACTCGGAGGCTTCAGGATATCCAGGATCGAGATTATGTTCTCATGGTGGAAGTGACGCAAGAGCTTGATCTCACGAAGAGTGCGGAGACAGAACATGGAGTGGTCGAACGGACTGATACGTTTTATGGCGACCTTGCGTTGCGAGGGAACATGGAGGGCCGAACTGCAGCATAATCGGTCTCAAAAAGTACGACGTCTAGAGTGTATCGCCACATACCACACGATCCCATACGCCCCTTCGCCGATAACATCCAGTACTTGATAGTTGCTGCCCACTACGAAGTTGGCTGGTGCTGGCGTGCGCTCTGTATCAGGCATGAGTGTGAATCGAGTGAGATTGTCTCAGCGAGTGATTCTCGGCGGAGAGCACAGATGCAGCCCGACAATGGTATGTTTCAGTGCGCTAGTGCTGAATTTACCGGCCCCGAGGTGCTCTATTGTTGGATACACCATGGCAGATGATGGGAAGAGTGTTTATTAGTCTCAATTTCAGGAACCAATATTTTCTGGATAGGTCAGAAATTACTGATTAAGGTTATTCTTAGTCAAAATCACAAAACTTGCGATTACGAGCCACGTGCACTCTGGCCATCGTACCGCAGAAGGCCCGTGTTTGGATGTCCACCCTCGTCTACTCACCGCTCGTCCGTCTCGTTAAAACGCTCTCCGTCGCAGTGCTGCACGTTTCTTGACCACTCTCATTCCGTGTATTCAGTCTTTGTACTTTTCAATTTTGTAGATGCCCCCCACAGACAATAGGAAAGATGATGAAGCTCACGAGCCTGCCCGAGAGGGCGACCGCGAGAAGGATAGAGAGCGGGACAAAGGCGGGAAGTCGAAGGGTTCTGCGAAGAGTATGTCATCTGCTGTATTACACTGTCCGCGATTTCTAAAGAATGTATCTTTTCGTCGCAATTAGCCAAGGACCTCTCTCATGTACCTTGTAAATTTTTCAAAGTCGGTTCTTGCACTGCGGGTCCGTCCTGCCCATTCTCCCATACAGTCCTCGAACCAGGTCAACAGAAGGAGGTATGCGCTTGGTTTATGAAGGGAAACTGCAAGTTCGGCCATAAATGTGCACTCGCGCATATTCTACCCGGACAGAGCATGTCTATGGACAGGAAGAACAAAAAGGCCGCCCAACTTGCTGCTAACGCTGCCAATACTGCTGCCGGAGGTGGAAGAGATGGTGGAAGAGGCGGCGGTCGATCTGGCAAGGGCGGTTCTCAAGGCGGAGGGAATGGGGGTTCGCAGTCCCGCAATCCACTACTCTCCGGATCGACGGCGCCTACTCGTGCAATCTCTAATACTTCACGTACGGCCATACCTATGCCACTCAAGGCCACCTTGTCGCCGTCCACGCCTGCTCCTCCCGTTAAAGACACCGATTTCGCTTCATTCGGCCTACCCGATGAGAGCAACAAACTGCCCACTGCACCTGCTCAACGAAAGTCGTCTGCCGCGCAGGGCAGCGCGAACTCGTCTGAATTCGTACAAGACATAACCCAGGTCGAAACCGAAAAGGCTGATGAATCATCTACGAGCGAGAACGTATCTCTTTCGCCCATTCCTGTCAGCACACCTTCGGCGCCTCGCCGTGTCGGGAACGCTCAACACAGTTCTCCTAATGGTGTTGACTTCGGACCCATTGGTTCCCCTCCACGCGCTTCGTCATCTGTCACCAGGACGTCGCGGATTAACGGGTTCTCTCCTGGTACGTCTCCTAATGCCGCTGCTGGTCTGCCTGCGTCGCCTTTCTCCGCTCCTGGAACTCAGACGGTATTCGTAATCAACGACGCCGATGACTCTGCCAATGGTTTTAAAGGTCGTTCCGGTCTATCTGCCTCCCTTGGTACCATGATGAACTGGTCAACCGACCGCCATCCACGCGGTATGAATGCGCGTGGGGTGGCGGGTGAGGTCGTTGTGGAAGACGAAGACTTTGAGGAGTTTATCCCAAGTTCCTTGACGGACCTTCTCACTCCCGAAGAACGGTCTAGGCGGTTTTCGCGCACAAATGGCAATCGCCCTACTATGATCAGTCCGGAACATGATACGATGAGCGGCCAGCGATCATCAGCCGAAGGGCATAGATATTCGCGCTCGGTCCCTGCACCGTCTTTAATGCAGGATATTCGCTCGATATGGGCTGATAGTGGGAACGGAAACGAGATTGGTGGCTCTGGAGGATCCGTCTTGGGGGGCGGTTTAGGTAATGGCACTCCCAGTTCATTCCAGTCCAACTCTGGGCTGTCAGGCAGGTTACCTGTCGAAGAGATGCTCGCGCCTTCAAACGCGTCTGCTGCATTCTTGCCTGGCCTTCATCATAATTACATGAATGCGAAAAACCAACGATCCAATTTACTCTCTGGGATGTCGTCTTTGCATGCAAACGCTAGTAACAATATATCGCATAATATCCATCCGAGCGCCTACGGAGCCGGTCTCAACGCAGGGGCACTCTCTCCTCCTCGTACTAGTGTGTTGGGGAATCGTACGTCGTTGGATTATATCTCTGCTGACGTGAACGTTTCTCAATCCACTCACCTGCGCGCATCTGGTCGCACCATTCTAGGCGGTAACGATGCGTTCGCACAGGATGTAGACGATCGACGGAGTGCAGCGTCTCCCTCGGCGAGAGCATTGCAAGCTCATGCTCCTGGGCAGAGTCTTCCGCAAGGTCTTGCTGCTGGATACTCCCGTATACATGCTCAGCCACCGCCTGTCATCGCCTCACCTTCAACTCCAGGGGCATTCAGCCAGTTGGGTGGTTTCTCTCCGGGAACAAAGGTATTTGGCCATGCCCAGAGCGCATCAGGCGAATGGCATAGCATGTCACCTGGAACTGGAAACTCGCTGGATCAGCTCTCACAAAGTATTACGGCGCAGACATCGATTAACCCCGGCACGACTTCTATGGGTGGCTTGGAAGCCATGTTCTCTCGTTTATCATATTCTGCTGCCGCTTCGCGTACGTTGTGTGCTACTGTAGAAATTGTTCACTTCTGATGCAACTTTCGTTCAGGTGGTGGCACAACGCCTATGGGTAGTGGAGCGCGTAATCCAAGCGGACGAAGCTACAACCCTCAAGGTTCACTGAGTCCGTTGAGTGGGCCAGTGCTTACTGGCGACGACGACGATCTATTCAGCATGGATGGCTGATTTGTAGTAAAAATGAGCACGTCTGTGTTGGTGTAAAATTACTGTTGAAATGTCTAAACAAGTCGACGCACGGTTTTGTAGATCATTGGTATTTACGGGGAGAGGTCGTCAGGATGCCCGTGCCCCTTGTCTCTGTATTGCTGTGACTAGTATCATATCTAATGGGCGTCCTCATATACAGTATATCCCCTTGGCTACTTCATTGTTAAATTGGACAATTTATCTATTATCTATTTCACTTGAGCAACGAGCCGGCCTGCTCCAAAACATATGGGCGACCCAGAGGATCTTGATCTTCGTGATCGGCTTCCTCCGATCGAAAATACAGCGTCAAGTTAGCCCGACTCAACTTTCAAGCGAGCGCACTCTGAACCGCTCTGCCCAGCGAGTTTGGCTACTTGCTTGAATCCTCGACCACCAAATGACGGCATCTCGGTCGTATCTCCCCAGTTCGTCTAAGAAACGTAAATCAAGCAATGACGATGCTATAGCTCGTGTCCGACAACTCGAGAGCCGCCTCACTTCTGCTCTCTCTGAAAATGCTTCCCTCAATCCCTTAGCAGACCTTCTCGATATCGCTTTGAATGCGGAAGATTATGGGACACTGGTCAAGGCTATATATGCGCTGTACAGGGTCTTTGTTCTGATAATTTCTGGTGGTCTACTCCTTTCTCAAGACAAGGCTGATCAAGATCATCAAACCGTCAAAATATGGCTTTCAGATAGACTCAACGCGTATGTCGAGCTGCTCTGTGGGCTGCTGAAGGATGAAGAGGCTACTGTACGGGTACGTCCTATATATGTACTTCGTATTGCTGTGATGGCTGACTGTAATAAAAGACATCCGCTTTGCAAATTTTGTTGTCATTACAGAAGCATTTATCAGCTTCTCTGACTCGTTATACACTCAGTGAGACAGTGTCTCAGCCACAGTTCCATATATCACACTTTCGAAAAATCGTCAATGCACTCCTGAAGTGTCCACCCTCGCGACGACAATCAACCACTAGCAAAAAAGCACGAACCGTGGGCAGCCCCGCACAGGATAATGTTCTGGAAGCGGATGTCAGGCATACATTTGTGGAATCATGGCTAAGCGTCCATGATGATATACGATGGTTTTTTCTGAGGGAGGCAGGGTACGTCAACCATGGTCTGCAATGACGATCGCATCATTTGACGCAACTCTCCCAGAAACATAGTAGCAAATCAGTCGATGAGCGAAGATTCTTGTGTCCCACAGAATCTATTGGCCATCCTTGAGGGTCTCACTACATTCCCCACTGAACCCTCAGAGCTGAACGCCTGGTGGGTAGAAGAGCTTGGTGTTCGTCCTCCCAAGCACAAAGTATCTGGAGAAGAAGAAGAAAATGAAGATGTGGAGCACGCAAAAGTTGACGCTGAGGACGACTGGCGGACATTTTTTGACCAGGAACCAACAGCATCCGATGCGACCAAGTCAAAAATACCAACTGCTCGAGTGCATACTCTGACTCTTCATCAATCTCTGCATTCTCTGGCTTCTCATAGGGCTGTTTTCACGCGTACATGGCTTGCGCTACTCCCACGGCTCTCTGCGCAATCCTCAGAGTCTAGGACCTACTCGTTGCGAGTATTGAACATTCTACATAGAGGCGTGATACCCCACCTGACCCGACCAGTATTGGTCATGGACTGGGTTGCCTCATGCGTAGACTACGGTTTGATAGAAGTCTTTCGAAAATTTGAATATGTTATTGATAAAATTTTGGCTACTTGCTATAGGGGGAACTGTCGGACTTCTCGCGTTAAACGCGCTCTTCACTCTGATGAAAGAATATAACCTGTATGTGGTTAACCCTGTTTTGGTTGATTCGCCCATAAGGCTGACTGGCACGATCTAGTGACTATCCATCATTCTACACCCGGTTGTATACATTCATTGACCGAGATGTCCTACATCTAAAACATCGCGCACGATTCTTCCGCCTGACAGAACTGTTTCTTAGCTCTACGTGTGTACAAATCAATTCATGTATCCCTACCATGTAACACGCTAATGTAATCCAACTTAGGCATCTACCGGCGACACTAGTAGCGGCATTCGTGAAGCGACTCTCGAGGTTGTCTCTCAATGCCCCCCCAGCGGCGATTATCATGATCATCCCTTTCACATATAACCTACTCAAAAGGCACCCCGCTTCCATGAGCATGATTCACCGTGGGGACTCAGCAGACTCGAGTAACGGCGAGTTGAGATCTTCTGACCACAATGACCCTGACCTGACCATCTATGTGCAGACGTATTTGACATGAGCGAGCCCAACCCCACGCTATCGAATGCTCTCGACTCTTCTTTGTGGGAACTCTACACGCACAAAAGTCACTATCATGCTGCCGTATCGACCCTAGCGTGCATCTTCGAAGAAGCTTTCACACGACCCGCATATTCAATGGAAGACTTCCTGGACCATACGTACGGCACGGTGCGTCGCTGCTTATCGTGCCTCCTGCGATGGGTACTGATATGAACCCACGTTGCAGCTGTTTGATACTGAAGCCCAGCGGCGGATACGAAAAGACCCCGCAGTATCATTGGACTCGCGTCCGGGCGCCGAAGGCGACATCGTCTCTGATTTGTGGGACTTCTAGAATGATACATAAGTACTAGCGGCTACACATGCGTTATATCGTGAAGCTGTACTGTAATCTTGAACATCTATAAGACTTCTTCGTCGTCCTCGTCTCCGGACACCTCTGCGTTCTCTTCGCCAGCCTTAGCCATGAGCTGCGCGAGGTCGTGCTCTTCTGTCTCCGAGATAGCTTTTGGCTTGAGGAAAACATAAATTCAGTTGGACTCAATGAGAGCTTGGCATAATCGTGCATACCTTCATCTTCACAACAAGCGACCCACCGCTATTCTCTATCGTCGACTGAATGGACTCGATTGCGCGCTCCAAACGGTCCACAGCGGCATACTATGAAGAACAGTTAGGAGAAAGGACTGCGCCCACATATATCTGAGACATACCTTGTCCGTGGCGTTCGTGCTCAAAACGTACAACGGCGGCGCCACTAGCTTCGCTTTAATGGGCACCGCCTCGCTGCTCTCACGTTCACCGGCACGGAGAGCCTTTTTAATGGCGTCGATTCCAGCAGGAGTGTAGCATGTTAGCTCGATATCTGCACGCAGCTTGATAGGCTGGGGTGTAAGGCGGCGCGCGATGGTGGCCGTGAGGATGTTGAGTGTAGATGGCTGGACTGGGCTCGACAAAGATGAAAAGACTGTCTCCTGCTCGCTGAGCGTCCCCATCGAACGGTGTTAGCGGACTCGCGATGGAGAGGAGAAGAGCACTCACGTTAGAGCGAGCTTGAATGCGTCGTATGGGTGCCCATATTTTTTTCCCAGAGGCCAAGCAATCTGGTCGTACAGCTGCTCCAGGCGATCTTCCTCGTTCGACCCCGGGATCACCATATCCTCAGCCGCCTCGTCCTCGTTGCCCTCTTTCCTGGCAGCCCTCCGAGACTTCTTCGCCTCCTTTGCCTCCGCATCTTGTACCTCGCTTACTTGCTCGACACCATCGGCACCGACGGAAGGCAACTTGGACGCGACGTGCCGCATGATAGATGCGACAGTTTTCGATTTCATGTATCGTTCCTCGCATTTGGTAATATCCTCTGGTGAGACACGTCGTTTCGAAAGATCAATGTACCCTGAAGGTGTCAGGCTCTAAGAGAGATTCCGGTTGAATTAGATCAAACATTATACACACCCTTTTCCTTGTCAACCCTCAGGACGACGACGACCTCGTTGCGCCCTACTCGAATGAGCTTCTGGATCGACCTGATCCGCCGACGGGACAGCTCAGAAAGCAGAATCATTCCCTCGATATTGTCATACTCAAGCTGTTGTGTTTCTAAGCATCTATTATAGACTCCTTGACAAGGACCAGACGTACAAGCTTAACATATGCGCCCATCTCTGCGATTTGACGAACCTGGACCATGACCAGTTCGTCAACTTCGGGGTACCGCTGTTCGTAATATCTCATGTTGTGTCGTCGAGGTGTTGAAGGAGTTTATCTGTGGAAAGATATGTTATACGGCAAAACTTATGCAGGGTGAGCGATTCGTGGAATGGCAAATTGGGCAGTAGCCTGATAAGATTCTTGATATTCGATCTCACGCTGCTATATACGGCACGATCACACAATTCGACATGGGTTCAGACTCGGACATGCTCCGCTAGCAGGTCTCCCCGCACTTGGGCTCAACCCTTCTCAGCACCTTTGTCAAGGCTGTCGTATTCGTGTTAATTACATGACAAGATCCTCCCGTACGATAGCGAAAGTGCATCCGAACGCACGAGAGGGGAAATCAATACAGATCTTCATACATCTCAGCCTCCCGGAAAAACAAGCCTATTACAAAATGATAGTTTAATATATATGTATTCTTGTGTTCTCCTACGTAATCACGAATGGACGTGTGAGACTTACGAATGAGAAGAATAAGCTGACAAAGATGCGAACGTTTGGAGTTGGTTTGGACAATGTGTGGCCGCATCTAGTCCAGCCCGAAGGATGTGGGCATGTGTCAAGCAGAGAGACATGCATCTGCCAATGGCATTGGGATTAATTTTTGGCTTGAAAGAATGACACTGTTGAAGGTCCAGAACAGCTTGTAGCAATAATCATATATCTCTAGTCCGATATACCCGGTTGAAGAGGTCCGTTGAAAAGCGATCCGGATGACAGGACCGAAACGATACCGCACGCCATTGCCGTGAACGGATGTGTGAATCATACGGCTGATAACCTTCCTCTAATCATGTGTTGGTTGCGTGTTGGTATGCGAAAACTGATCACTCCGACAAGTGTAGGTGGGGAGGGCGCGGGAGCTGGACACTAGTCGGAACTAACAGCCGATAGGTGAGTGGGACATGGTGAGTAGAGAACGGTTCGAAAGTATGGTATATTCGCCTGCCTGCAGTCGTGCCGCACGCCTTCAGGACGCCGGCACTGTCATGCTTGGACCACGATGGCCGCACTAGTCCCGGAGTACATGAGGATTGAGAGTCAGCGAATATGAACACCAATAAATGAGAGCGATCCAGCTGGCGGATTGCCCGCGACAGCGACTATCGAAGAAATGCATATCCACGTAGGAGAGCTCCTCTGCCGCGTCGAGCGTTGGCTGGGCGAGATATGATTGAAGCGGAGTGTGTGCGAGTAATTGGAGGACCAAGTCGAGTCGAAGAAGGATGGGCTGTGCAACAGAGTTGATCTGATGCCTCATGGACAGAGGGATCCAGACACTAGCCGCACAGGGGGATGTGCGGAAGACAGATGAGGAAGGTGGGGACCGAGAGAGGGGGGAGGGAGGAAGACGCTGGCAAGTCGCACGAGAAGACGGCCAAGGCTGGGCAGCTGCGAGCGTGTCCAAAGATATGTGGGAGGGTGTGACAGCTGCGTATCAGAAGGAGGAGATTTATAAAGAATGAGAAGGGATTGCATGGGGATCGCACTCTGCCGAAGAAGAACTTGAGTTCAACAAGGAGACGTCTCGGGGCCGTGCAAGTGACCAGCAGCGCTGCAGCGGGCAACTCACCACAGAGCCGCGATCCGAGGAGGGGCGAGGAATGTCCTGAAAGAGGAAACGAGCGTGCAGTCGGGATCCGAATTGCCACCAAAGAGGAATTTGTCATAATAACATCTTCAACAATGGAGCGTGGGAACGGAGACCGGAAACGGAGCCGCGTGGGCGGCGAAACGCGTCATGACGCGCCTGGCACATTCCATATAAGGAAAAGCCGGCGGTTGATGCTTATGGGTGCAGCCGTGGGAGACCGGCGCGACGAGATCCATCGGGGCGGTTGCCACGTGTGCGCGAAGCCAGGGACCGTCCAACGCCTTCTCCCATAAGTATATCTCCGCCTGGCGCTACTGCCCTTCTTCCTTCCCTCCATCCTCCACGCCCCCTGGCGCCCGCCCTCATCCTCCCCTCCCATGTCCTCCTCCATCTACAATGTGAGCTCGCCCCCTTTCTCCTCCCCCTTTCTCTCTCCGATCCTGACCCCCCTCCTCTCCCGTCTAGCACAAACATTTGCAACCAACAGGCGCCTCTACCCAAGGCCCATCCCAGCAACAACACAGCCAGGCCAGGCTCAACGACTGCTTCGACACTATCCGCCAAGAGTTTGAAATCCTTGCCCAAGAGGTCAATCACTCCCGTGGCCAGCGAGATGACCTCGACAACAAAGGTTCGGTCAATATCTTCTCATCTTTCCGCCATCTCGACGTACTGATATCTCCTCTCACACGCTCTTCTATCTATCTCGTCGCTCGCATTGGCTCTCGCCGTCACCTTCGCCTCTTGCACATCAATCAAATTCAAATCCGACTTTCACCCCCTTCTCCTTTCAGTGACCGGTCAAGTCAATGAGCTCAACATCATCCGCCAGTCTTTGTACGATCTTGAGACGCAACACGGAAAGATTCGTGATCAATATGAGGCTGAAATTCGTGCTCTTCGCTCCGAGCTGCACGCTCTGAGATCTCAAGGCCGTGAACGTGAGGTCCTTGGCTTAGCTTCCCTCGGGCGTGACCGTCCTGACGCGCTGCGCCCCGACCCTGCCATTCGTGGTGAGCCCCCCATGCGTGGAGAACCTCCAGTCGGACGCGATCGTGATCGTGAACGCGAACTTTTGCGAGAACGTGAACTTCAACGCGACGTCCCCCGCGAACGCGATCGTGACCGCGACATTATTATGGCTCCTGGGCCCGGTATTATTGGCCGCGGAGAAGGTATGGGGAGGGATGCACTTGGACTTGGTCGTCCGCAGGCGGTCGGCGGGCCAGGTGCTGGCCCTCCAGGAGAGGCAGTTCTGAGCGCGCTGCCTTTGACGCCCGTGGGGCTGAGTGCGGGTGCTCCAGGACAGGGCAGCGGAGGCGCTGGAGGCTACGATTCTTTTTATGGGAGAGGAGATCGCGATAGGGACAGGGAGAGAATGGGGGATCGAGGTGGAATGAGCGATCGCGACAGAGTAATGGACCGGGAGCGCGAAAGACCTGACAGAGATGGACGAGACGTAAAAAGGATCAAAACTGAAAGGATGAAATCTGATCGTGGTGGTAAGTTGGTTTCCTTTGCATCTTCTTTCTTTTTCTCGTCAGCCTCAAGAGTGCATACTCATGTTGTTCCTGCCCCTTGTTGCATTGCCCTCCCTGCCTCTGTTCCTGCAGATCCATTCTCTCCCGGGATGTCCCACCCAAGTGCACATCACGCCCACCACCAAAGCATCTCCATTGGACCTCCCGCTCCCGGCTCTGGGGCAGGACCCAGTCCCTCTAATCCCAATGCACTTAACTCCAGCACTAGTCTTTCTACACCGACTTTGGGACCCTCTTCGTCCGCCCTGCCGGGTCAGAGCGGCCCTGGGCAGGGTCTCAATGGGTCGCTCGGAATGAACGGTGGTGGTCCCAATGCGAACATGAATGGCAATGGGAACAGTGGGGGTCAGAATGGGATGAGCGTGGGCACGAACCCGAGCGCACCGAATGCGAGTGTGAATGTGACACCGAAGCTTCCACCAGCGCCGGGTACAGGTACAATTGCGCTGGGGTTGCCACCCCCGCCAGTACCGTACACAGGATCGGGACAGGGGCAGGGGCAGGAAGGGCCGGGGGTCAATGGCGGAGGTGAGCGTCCGTTGTAGCCGCATTGCGGTAATGTTGTGTGCATGTGCAGGGTTCTCTTTCAAGAGTGTTCCACTGTATCCGCAAGGGCGAGGATAGTCGGGTGTTCATGGCGTTCTGAATGTTTGAATGTCGTCGTCTGACTTTGCTTTTTGCTTCCTCTCTGATTCGTATTCCCCCAATCAAACCTTGTTTATGATCTGAATGCCGTTCTAATTATATAGGTAATCCCCCATATCCTCATACGCCTACCCCATCTACCGCCCTCCCTCCTACGGCGCCATCTTTGCCGCCCTCTCACCCGTCAAATCAACCTTCTGCAGGGACTGGCGCCGAACCTATGCAAGTCGATTTGAGCCTCGATCCTCACACCGTGCCGCCCGAACTAAAGAAGGAAGGGCCAGACTGGTTCGCTGTATTTAGTCCCCTCACTAACCCCAATGGAACAAAAGATGGAGGCCCTGGTGGGGCAAATGGAGGGAAGAAGCGAGCGCTAGACGTGACGCTGCAACATACATTGATGCACGAGAGGTACGTTTACTTGAATCTGTTTGTGCCTTTTGATGGAGCGCTGATGCTTGCGGGGCGATACATTATCCCAATATCTAATGCAGTGTAGTGTGCTGTGTGCGCTTCTCAGCGGATGGAAAGTATTTGGCGACGGGCTGCAATCGTACGGCTCAAATCTACGACACCAAGACGGGTCTAAAGACATGGTGCGTCTATGCAGTCACAAAATACTGATTCACGACAAGCTAATAATGTATGCGTCTGGTTGTGTCTCTTTGGCTCACTGCGGCGGGACATCAGCGTTCTTGTTGATGAGGGAGCGAGTAAAACTGGAGACTTGTACATTCGAAGCGTGTGCTTTAGTCCAGATGGCAAGCTACTGGCGACGGGCGCCGAGGATAAGCTGATCAGAGTGAGTATCGTCGATAGCTTCCAGATCGAACGTGTCTTGAGCGCTGCTTTTCAGATTTGGGACATTGCGAAGAAACGGATACGCCAGGTCTTCGATGGCCACCAACAGGAGATCTACTCTCTAGACTTTTCTCGCGATGGTCGTCTCATTGTCTCAGGATCTGGTGACAAGACTGCGCGGATTTGGGATATGACGGACGGGAAGCCGAACAAGATTTGTAAGTCCTTTCTAGTCTCCACTTTAACTTCCTGACAGCGTCACCATGGTTTAGTGTCGATCAATGAGGATACTTCAGATGCTGGTGTCACCTCAGTATGCATCTCGCCGGATGGGCGACTGGTCGCCGCCGGTTCGCTCGATACTATTGTTCGCATCTGGGATGTCGCAACGGGTCAGCTCGTCGAGCGTCTGAAAGGCCATCGCGACAGCGTGTACAGTGTTGCCTTTACACCCGACGGCAAGGGGCTCGTCAGCGGCAGCCTTGATAAGACGCTCAAATACTGGGATTTGAGGCCAATTCTGAGAAATCGAGATGGACCAGGTTCAATCGCACAAGGCAACTCGACTGCTGCGAAGAATGGTGTCAAGGACGGTGGCGAGAAGGGAAGTCAATGCACAATGAACTTCACGGGACACAAGGTACGTATTTATTGATGTGTATATGACGAGTCCGGCTTCGATTGATCCCATTACTTGGTATTAGGATTATGTATTGTCCGTCGCAGTCTCGCACGATGGCCAATGGGTTGTTTCAGGGTCGAAAGATCGAGGGGTGCAGTTCTGGGACGCCAAGACTGCAGTTGCGCATTGTATGTTGCAAGGTCACAAAAATTCTGGTGAGACTTTCGCAGCATTTTCATAATGAACTGCTCATGCTGAATCTCCCTCAGTTATTTCGATAGATCTCAGTCCGGCTGGAAGCATTTTGGCTACCGGCAGTGGTGATTGGCAAGCACGAATATGTGCGTACAATTCCTTATTCACTGCATGTTGTAGATGTTCACATCATTCGTTTTTAGGGAGTTACACCACACTGTGAAACGTTTTGCTTTCGCTTCCATTTTCCTGCTATGATCGTTACGTGCGCTGTTCCAAGATCTACGATGATATCCTTCCTGTTGTGTTTCTTCCCTTTATCCTGTGTTTGTGTTCTTGTCACTAATGATCCATGGACCCCAAATTATTCTCTGTATTCAGACCACCGAGGCTGCTGGCGTCGCCTGTCGACGATTCATCGACTACCACCCTATCCCCTTTAGTTATCTATTCAATCGTTCATCGCGTCCCCGGCTAGTGTGTCCTGTCGGTAGGATTAAGCAGTGTTATTGATAAATGTGTACTTTCCTCTGCCCATCTGTCGAGGCGAAGTGTTGGATTTGGTATGTCATACACGTGTACCTGTCTGACTGCACTGCAAAATTAGTGTTGTCGCTGTTGTCGTTGTCGATGTAATGTATTATTTTGTCTCACGCTAGGCAGTAGATTGAGACTACGGCTGTTTTAGTGTTTGAATGGCAACGATCCACAACTTGAGTGCGCACTTACTATCCATACCATACTGTAATTGATGCTGTTGCCGAATGATGAGGTCACATGGTCCGCCGTCCGCACTCGATCACTCAATCGTATCTCGTTAGAGCCTGCGTAGAGCTACCCAGACCCAGACATTGTTGGTTCGTCGAGTGAGTGTCCTCAGTATCCTCTCCAGATCCCGGTAGCTCACAACTCCAAATTTGCGAACCCGGCCAGTTTGTAACTTTGTGACGTTTTCTCTTCATTGGGTCTTCCGCTGCCAAACAACCTGCTTTGTTGAAATGTCAGATAGCTCCATGAAAGCCTATCTGGCTGCAAAGTACATGTCAGGCCCTAAGGCAGATGCTATTCTATCCCGAACATCCGTAGGAGCGACAAAGAAGAAGAAACGCAAGGTTGCACCAGGTTCTAAATCTGTGGCCTCCGGCTCTTCCATGATCAAGGATGATGATTTGTCGGGCTGGGACAACGCCACTCGTGAGGTCGAAGAGGATGACATAGAGGAGGCAGTCGTGGCTGCAGACCGCGGGTTTAAGAAGCGACAACGTATGGATGAAGGGTCAGGATGGGCAACCGTCCGCGAGAGAGAAGGAGAGAGTCCTCCACCTACTGCAGATGAGCAACCGCAAGTCGTCCAGGAAGAGGAGGCGACGGCCTTTGTAGGGGGTTTACTCACCTCTGCACAGCTTAAAAAGACACTACCTCGCGAGAAAGCTGTCAAGTCATCTGAGGCTGACGAGAAAGAGCGTCAAGCTGCACAGGAGACGATTTATCGAGATGCGTCAGGAAGACGGATAGACACTGCCGCAGAACGTGCAGAGGCTGCGAAAAGGAAACGAGAGCGGGAAGAGCAGGAGGCCCGCAAGATGGAGTGGGGCAAAGGTCTAGTGCAACGAGAGGAGGCCGAGAAGCGAAAGCAAGAGGAGGAAGCAATGCGCTCACGGACATTTGCGAGAGGACGTGATGATGTTGAGCTCAACGAGGACCTCAAAGCGCAGGGTCGATGGAACGATCCCGCGGCACAATTCTTGACAGTGAGCTTGTCACACTCAATCTGCCACATGAGAGATACTTAAAATTCCCGCAGAAGAAGAAGACGAAAGGTCCAAGGAGACCAGAGTACACTGGTCCTCCGCCTCCTCCTAATCGATTTGGTATCAAACCTGGATATAGATGGGACGGTGTTGGTGAGTGTCTTGTTAGCGGTTCAAAATGATAGCTTTGATGTATTATTTCGTTTCTGTAGACCGTGGCAATGGTTTCGAAAAGAAACTGTTCCAACGCCAGAACGATAAGCGGCGCCGTGGACTTGAGAGTTACGAATGGAGCGTGGATGACATGTGAACAGCGATACCATTCCTCTATCATCATGCGTATCCGTCCTCGTCGCCTATGTTGGCCCAAAGTGACATTTACGATAGGCTTTGTGTGGGCTCATCAGCTCTGTCTTAGGTGACGTTGAGCCACAGGCTTCCTGTTTGCTCATTAGCCCCAACCGCCCATCCCAATCTTAGCCGAGAAATGAACTAAAGCCAGCCTCTAATCCGCAATCGAGCTATGCAATGGAAATCGTTTACCGCGCATAGACCAGATTATCGACATTTCGGCACCACACTCGCAACGACGTCACGTCATGTCATGTCTCTACGCGCTAGAACCTGACGTAGCCCATATACATGATAAATATGCATGAATAATGCCATGTTCTCGGTACAGGCCAATACAGCCGAGGTTGACCAAACAATCTGAATCTCTCATACGCAGTCTACCTCAATCTCTTCCATCACGAAGACGGAATGCTCGTTGACCACAGGCCGCCATCCACACCTGCTTGCGACTTCAACTCTCTTCATCCTTAGTAGGAAGTGATAGCCAAGTACGCTATCGAGAGACCAAGCAGTTCTGGATGCATGTTGTTAATAGCGACATCATCCAAAGCGCTATTGATAACTTACAGCGGAGTCAAGAAGACGACCGACAGCTGAGAACATTTGGTGGACTTGAGCAAAATACGGAAGACAGACGCTGAACTTATCACGTACGTTTCCGAAAACGCTAGGAATGAACTGAACCAGCCGGAGAGCTAGAATGTAGAAGGTTGAGCACAGTCTGGGAAATTTGAATCCTCCTCACTGAAGAATGCCTACGAGGGCGGCAATGTGAGTCATAGAGAAGCTGGGATTCACGTTGACGTACCAAAAAGGTCAATGCACCATCCTTATAAAGATCCACCATGATTTTTGAATTGTGGCGGCGAGGTCTATTTAGAGCGTTGATAATCAGTAGAGTCATAACGTAAATATCGTAGAATAGCTGCAGCATAATCATGAGCTTCACGCGAGTAAATTATGAAAGGTTTCCAACCATTCCACCCCATACCCCGGCATAATAGATCGCATACTGAGAATTCCAGCTGCTAGATTCGATAATGCACGTCCTAGATCCTCTGCTGTTTAAGACATCCATGCCGGCTACACGAAGTGAGTGTCAGTCTTAGACGCGCAGAATAGGCACAGCTTACACTGAATCTCGCGTTCTACAAGGCTGGCAAATGTAATGGAAATGCTAAGGCCGATGGCGAAGCCGCATATTAGAGCGTACTTGATAGAACGCTTGTTGTCCCAGAGTAAAGTTGCACGTAGAAGGAGCGTAACTGGATGTAAATGAGCGAGAGGATATTAGAGGTGTGAAAATCTGGAAATTTTCCTGAAGCGCACATTGTGACAAGGCACTTGCAATAATCCCGTAGACACAGAGTACAGCAAAGAGCCCGCGGCAACTAACACATGTATTAGCTCGTGTATCTTCTTCTTTATTCCTGGAACTAACATCTTAATCACGCAATGTCAGAATACCGCCTCTATATCGGAGGTAGACACTTACTGATGCTGTTAATGGTGCTCCGAAGCCAGCCATGGCTACACGCGAATTTGCGGTGTCTTAGTCACTAGCAGGAATGCACCGCATAAAAGGATTCATGGCGCACTGTATGCAATGAACAACAGGCTGACTTCACCACCATAACGATTGACGAGTACGACTGTCTGTAAGACAGACCAAGATTGACGCCATACAAGCTCAATTTCTTGGTCTACATTTAGAAAATGGTCCCAAAGTGAGATGGTTAACGCGACGCCTATGGCTCATTGTCAGTTTTAAATAACTTCACAACGTATAGACAATCATTCGCGCACCTGACATGTAATGCGTCGCCAAAAAAGCAGGTATATTGTCCGTGATCCCTGGGGCAGTAGACATCATGGTCGTGAAGGTTGGACAGTGCGAGACAAAAAGAGAGGAGAGATGGGCTCCTGAAAACGTCAACTTCAGGTTTATCAGGAAGTTGGAACCATGCAGTGCATCTTAAGATTTGATGAGGCAGATATATTTGAAAGTTGAGGGGGATCATTAGTTCTTGCACGAGAGGACACGACGACGCTCGAGATTTAAGGAATGTTCATTCCGATTCCTCCAAATTTTCAGACCGACTTGCCTGGTTGTATCAAAAGGCTCAACGCTGTCGTCGACTGCAGGCTGATACTCCTACCTATTTACCTATTTCGTAAATCAGAGATGAGCGTAGACTTTGTCTACGCTCAACTCCGATCTATAAAATAGACGCACAGGCCCCAACGAATAGCACATTGTCATCTGACAGATGCCCGCTCTGCAAGCGCATTTTGGGTGTCCTGAGACTCGGGTTACTAACACCGCTCCAGACACATTCCGGCCTGTGCTGTTGCATAGGCAACGGCTACGCAAAGCGCACATACACACTAAAATTGTGTTAGACCTTCCAATCATCCATTGTCAGACCCAACTTGAATTGGCAGATAGCTTGAACGCACACCAATGCACGTAAGACAACATGTACTCATCACTATCATCGGATATCCAAGTCACACGTTATTCTGCGTTGTTGAAATCTATACCGAGCAAAATCACCATCATGATGCCACCGCAAACGCTTGATTGAGTCCGAGTCGCAGTAGCTCTGAATCACCTGAAAAAGATGAAGACCGTTGTCCTCTCGAGCAACAATGCTGCCAGTACCCAACATCATCAAGAGCTATTAAACCACGGCAGATAGCTGTTCTGAACAACTTTTGAATGTCAATACTTTATTGGAAAAAGCACCAATCGAGAGCGGTCACTCTGACTTATGGAGTATTCGTACCGTCTTCCAAGCGTTGACCTACACCAGACAAGGAATTACCACGTAGGCCATGCAGCGTATGTAACACCCTCCATCGATGGACAGCGAGTAATGTAATTACTTGGTGGTCAACGGATAACCATAGGGAATACGCGCGATGCTACCCACCGTCTATAAAAAGGGTTATTTAAGCCGAGATAACTGATTGCAAGACAGAGACGGGGCACTTTACATGGTAATGGACTTCCTGTCATCTGGGGTGTTCTTGAATTGACGGCGATGGATGGGACTTTGAATGGCCGCCTTTCCCCCTCAATGATACTGTCTCTAAATGATACAAGCGTTGTGTTCCTTCATCATGCGGAAACGGCTCCCATCGTCGTCCAAGTGACAATCAAATCCGATGGGTCAGTGGGATGTCTCCCTATCACCGAGGCGATTTCACACTTTCATGCAGACCGGCGACGGTGAATGACATAGCAGTCTTTTTCCAAGCTCAGCATGAGATTACAGTGCGAAATTAGCCAATAGGATCTCCGCCAATTGATGCATATATGCGCATACAGAATCTCGTCATCCGTGTCATAACCTCCCATCTGCAGGAGAACATACCAACGTCAGTCGTGTTCGAAGGGGATACCTACACACTGACAGCTAGTGAGTGGCATGAGGAAAGCCACACCATAACACACAAACTCACACCAATCGGATAGAACATACAGAATGGACCTTCGGGAAGAATATTCAGTTCTCTTGGGGAGACGATGGAGTAGATGCCAGTGACGACAAATGGACGTTTGTATTCAAGCCCACCCGTGCTGCCCTCGAATAGTAAATGTCCAAGTTCAGAGTGCATACAATGGCATCAAGAGTAGCTCTCGTTGTGCATGTACAAAGAACAGACACTGAGAGAGAAGATAGCTAGCACTCATGAAATTAGAGGTGACTGTCTGCACTGGCAGGCCAAGCTAGACAGAGTGGTCCGGCCGGGCCATGAAGGATGCGCCCGAGTCCCGACGGAAGAAAGCGTTCAAAGCCTGGCAGCGGCTACCCAGCGCTAACGTTCACCCCATGAGCGGACGGCCCGCCCGGCCCGTACCCCGGAATGCGACTCAATCCGCTCCGAGCATATAAGACTCTTTTCTCTCGTGGTCAAAACAATTCGTTCTCTCGCTCTTGCTTCTCAATTCCCTTCTTTCTCTAGTGAACGATAGCCATGTCTGTCAAAATTACCGGTTACGAGACACACGGTACATAAAGCCTTGTGTGCCCATATGATCCGCACTGACCACCCCCACCTTACAGATGTCCGCTTCCCAACGTCTCTTACGGGCGATGGAACGGACGCAATGAACACGGATTGCGACTATTCTTCAGCATATATATCTCTGTTCACATCTTCCGATCTGGTTGGCCATGGTATGACCTTCACGATCGGTCGGGGTAACGATATTGTCTGCTCCGCGATCAAGGAGCTCGCCAGCCGACTGGTGGGCAAGGATGTGGAGGAACTTTTTGCAAACATGGGGAAGACATGGGAATATTTGTGCGCTGACCCGCAATTACGATGGTAGCTTTTCGTCCGATGATCTACCCCATCGTCAAACTCATACGTATACAGGATCGGCCCTGAGAAAGGTGTGATCCACATCGCTCTTGGTGCGGTCGATAATGCGCTTTGGGATATGTACGCCCGCTCGCGAAATAAGCCATTATGGAAGCTGGTGGTAGACATGACTCCCGTACGTTCGTCATATATAACTGAATAGCAGGTCCTCCTGATCCTCCCTATAGGAAGAACTCGTCAGTGCGACAGCATTCCGTTACATCACCGACGCAATCACACCTGAGGAGGCACTTGAGATGCTCAAGGCGAAAGCCGCAACCAAGGCGGAGAGGGAGTCGACAGTACGCGAACTAGGATATCCCGCGTATGTTACTTCCGCCGGATGGTTGGGGTACAGCGACGAAAAGGTTGCACGGCTTACTCGTGAGGCGGTTGAGGCGGGTTTCAACCACTTCAAGATGAAGGTCGGCGCGGATCGCGATTCGGACCTCCGGCGAGGCAAGATCATTCGCTCAATCATCGACGACCCGCAGTACCTGCCAGCGGGCAAAAAGCCTCGGGATCCCAACAGCCCTGAGCTTATCGGGAAGAACGCCGGCCCTACGGGCAGTGTGTTAATGATCGATGCAAACCAGGTATGGGATGTCCCACAAGCCATTGAGTATGTCAAGAGTCTGGAGGAGATAAAGCCTTGGTAAGGGTTCTATACATAATGATAGATCTACTATGCTGATTGTGTACTTGTTGCATCATCAGGTTCATTGAAGAACCTACTGCTCCTGACGATATTCTCGGCCATGCTGCGATTCGCAAGGCGCTCAAGCCGCACGGCATCGGCGTTGCAACTGGCGAGCACGCGCACAATCGAATGGTCTTCAAGCAGCTCTTGCAGGCAGGTGCGATCGATGTGTGCCAGATTGACTCCTGCCGCCTCGCAGGCGTCAGTGAAGTTCTCAGTGTTCTGCTCATGGCCGCGAAGTACGTCACTCGAGCTGACCTGCGTGGTTGACTGGCCGACTCACGATTCATTCCAGATTTGGCGTCACCGTGTGTCCACACGCAGGCGGCGTTGGTCTTTGCGAATACGTGATTCACCTAAGGTTGATATCTTGCATCATTATCACCATTTGGGGCGCGGGACTGACAGTCTTGAACTAGTCTCATCGACTATATCGCTGTCTCCGGGACGATGGAGAGAAATGTCCTCGAGTTCGTTGACCACCTCCACGAGCACTTCCTGTACCCGTGCTCCATCAATCAGAACGGCCGCTACAATGTGCCAAGCGCCGCTAGTGAAGGGTACAGGTATGCTTCCAACCTATTCATATTTGCGTGTAGGTATACTCAATTGTGTGTTCAGTATCGAGATGCATAAGTCGAGTATCGCAGAGTACGAGTGGCCGCATGGTTCATACTGGGTGAACTCACCTAAGGTCAAGGGTCAGCAGTAAAAGGTTGGTGCCATAATCAGATCTACAAACCGGGAGAGAATTCAAGCCACGTAGTAGTCCTGTCACTGTAGCATAATCTTACTTTTCTTTGCTCTGAAGTCTATGACGTAACTCATTGGTGGCCCCCTCGTCGGCTGATCACCTTTGTTGATGATACGTGGTGTTAATATGATTAGCATGAACTTTCACATTTGAGATAGAAAATATATCTGATAGATAGTGATACAAAGCCTGCACCATTGAACACAAACTCCGAGAAGCTCAGCTTTTCTCGTCCCACCGTTCATAGCGGTCTCTTCGCAAGCTAGTTTTGTATGCATCGTCAATAGTCACACATAAGTCATCCAGATCCGAGAGAGCCGTTAGAAGGGCAGTCAACGACGACAGGTTGTCTGTGTACACTCAGCAGAAGTTGATGTGGAAGCATTGATCGACATACCGTACATCTGTATGCGCACATGAATGTGATTTTCGGACGGATGGGGGACACTGAGGACGAATTGGTTAGCTATGGAGTCACGACAGAGAGCTGAGTCCTAAAGAAGATTTCAATGCCAATAAATGACTTCAGATGAGAAAGTTCGGGCGCAGCGGCATTCTTCGTGTTGAGAAAGGACATAAAACGAGTCAAAGCATCCAATGCAGGAGCCGCAAAGAATGTGAGTCAATTGAGTAATAGAAGGGGTCAGTCATTATGCCTGACACAATAGAAAGTTGAAAAGGCCGGCGCATGATTTCGTCATTGTACAATGGCCACGGCAGGTTCGAGACGGATAATTGTCAAAGCACATATGGGAGGACGCTTACCTATATCCACAAAATTCGACCTTCGGGCTACAGTTGAAATACCATCAATCTACAACCTCAACTGGCCGGTAGGCCAATCTGTCGTATAATGAAATGACGAACTTCTTCATTAGCATCCATCTGAGAGCGTTGCCAATGGTATGAGATTCGTCATGGATCTGATATGTAGCGGCAGACAAATCCGGCTCTGCGCCTTTCAGCTACAAAATAAAAAGCGTTCAGTCGAAGTCATTGTGCTGCCAAAGGGATAACAGGCTCACAATCCTGATCTTGGGAGTCTGCTCTGCCATCTGTCACAGGCCAAATTTGCAGTCGTTGCACGAACAAAAGATAAAGGACGAAAGGCGTGGGAAGTCTACCGGGGCGCCTGCATTACTACCACATTCCATCACATTAAGTTTGGGGAATATCCTGCAGCACATGGTCTGGAGCGAATATATCTATGCCAATCATTCTTATTGTCGCTAAGTTGCGAGCCGCAAAGATACTGAGAACAAACACTTGTACGGATTGCCGGAGTAGTGTGGGCTGTGGCCGTGGTGGCGACGCGTTTGCAACTCCGACGGAGGTGCAGCTCAACAGGACCAAACAACAGGTGTGGCATTATTCGCGTAAGAACAAAGCGGACCGCGTCTACGCGATGCGTTCAATGCACAATCACTGTCTTGGCAATTTCCAACAATATCCTCTCGCCGTCCACATTCATCTGGCGGTTCTATAAAGATGGCGCGCGCTGCTCCTCCAATCTCATCCGCACTGCCATCCCCGACATCTCCTCTCAGCCCCACTTGATACCCGCCCTCTTCATCAATATAAGGCAGGCCTTTGGTTCCCCGGCGGACACCAGATTCACAACTTAATCCACATCATCCCCTCTATCCTCCTTCATCCTCAGTCGCGTCCTTCTTCTCAAGTTCTTAAATCCGACTTCATTCATTTGTTTGAAATGGCGTTCTTCGTCCCTCACGATTCCCGCCCGATCCTCCCCCCTCTTCATACGCTCAGTCTTCGCGATACAACTGACGAAGACGAGCTGTCTAGCGCAGACGACACTTACGATTCTAATGACCAATGTGTATGTTTTCGATACGCGGTCACATGACACTACTAACACTGTCTCCTCCAGACTCCCGACTCAGACATTGAATCCACCGGGTCTCACTGGATGCGCATACGCCAAACGTCCATCTCATCCACGACTTCTTCATGCACTGTAGCATCCCGCGACACGTCTCCTTGCGACGTACGACCATCATCCACACTGACCCCATCTCGTAATTTCTCTCTTGTCCGCACTACAATGGACAAAGCGAATGCTCTCATCGTCATCCCAGAGGTCCCGTCCATCCCGCAACTTCCGGGTTCCGAACGTTCTTCAATGAGTAGCGCTGAATCCGCTCGCCGTGGCAAAGCGTTTCTCGTAGTAGGCCCCTCCATTGAACGCTTTCGCCATCCCGAGCGCCGCATCGCCAAAGGAGCGCGTGTTCACCCATACCTTATGGTTCCTCGTCAGCACAGACGCCAATCCACACCATCGACCCCAACAGTAGTATAATAGGCATCACGGACAATGCGGACTGGATTAGACAAAGTTGATCCACAATTGTATCTCTAAGTGTATTGTTTTTGTCGCTCCGAGGGTTTCAATTGTATCCTGTAATTCTCGTTATTACTGTAGCATTTGTGATAATGAAATGTACCACAGACTGCAGCTATTGTGATCGCATCGACTGTCATCCACTGTCCATTGTTGCTCGACGGCTTAATCCACTCCCCGGCCTTATGTATTGTCCCGGTTCGACAATTATGTCTTCTGGAGCTCACATGTGTCACAATGAAACCCAGCTTCATTGTATCTACCTTGGGCAAGTGTACATATATCCTCCGTAATGACGACACAATCATGTTCCGGGAACCGCGTGCACTTGAATCAGCCAAGCATATATATACATTCTCTATAATCCAGATTTACTACCACGGCGCAGACCTGAGACCGCTACTATGATGGCTGGGAGTACCGCCCGTGAGCTAGAGCTCATATAAGTATTAAACGTACCACGAAAGCGAGAAAAATCACTCACTGCAGCATTGATCTGCTTGTGTACTAGACAAAGATCTGCCAATGACGCTCAATATCCAAACCATTGGGAAAATGAAGTAGACGTGTACGCACAATCAAGGTAAGACATGGCGGCATTATTCTGGTCCTCGACTAACATATCACTAAATTCAAGCTCTGCAGCATCCATATTCCGACGAGCGATCATGAACTTCGGAGTCCAGCCCCGTTGTTCGTGGCGGTGTGCGAGAATGTTGCGGATCTGCGTCGAAAGCCGAGTAGGCAGATGAGGAAACTGTGTCTACAGGGAATTGGGTCAGTCTAAACATTATGCACGTCAATCAAAGACCAGCTTACGATATGGGGATCGAGCTGCAAGATATCGTCTACGTCGAATAGATCCTTGAGTAGCTGTGGTGAAATATCGGAGCCAATCCATAGGACCGTCATTTCCTCGTTGTCTGGCAGCTCATTAGACCACCACGCACTTGTTGCACAAATGAAAGTTAAAACTTACCGGTGAGGTAGAGCCCATATGATTCCATAAATATATAACTAGTTCTCATCGTGGACGGCCAGCGCAATTGACCAGTGGTTGGATCGGGCAGTGCTACATGATCGCTAAGATCATGCAATGCGAGGAGCTGAGGATATAGATGCTGCATCGTGCATCGTACGCTCATGCTCATGATTTTATGTGCCTGGTAATTCCGTACATCGGCAGTGACATTGCGGCCTTTTACTATCAGCCATCTTTGAGTCACTCAACGCACGTCAAACCATTACCTTTCAGAGGCTTTGTTTTCATTATCGCCAGTGTATAGACAGGAAGGGCCCTAAAGGCTTCCGGTATAATCAACTAAATTATGGACGACCGTCAACTCGGCAAAATCGCGAACATTCATATCATACCTGCGATGGCGCCGCGGAGGCCGCACAGTGTTTCCGGTACCCCAGGAGGATTGCAGTACAAGTGTCCGTTAGCTGTTCATGTATCTTGGCTATCCTCTGCGTGGGCAATTTGGAAATGCCTAGCTCATTTCAATTTGTGCAACAAACAAACGAAGTAAGACCTAACACCAACCTTCACGAACCATATGGCATACAACTGTGTCCATGTCGGCGTACCGGAATACGTTTCCTGCCAATGACGCAACCTGCAAGCCTAGGTTACAGACCCGCACACGGCGCTGGCCGTGAGATGTCGTATATAGCACGGCACTTTGTACGAACGCAAACATAGAGTCATCTAGGGTCTTCGTATGTTCAAGATGCACGGATATTGCCTTGTCTGCGTCGAGAGTTCCGAACAATAGGTCCCCGGTCGGGCTCTCGTAGAAATTCCCATAATGGTTGGCGACACGTAGTCCTAGAAGGTGTTCAGCGCCGGAATGAGACGCTGTCGCAGCGACTGACCACTTGAGCAACGAACTCGCATTATACAGGAGTATCCTGTTGTTCTTTTCAATAGGCGCCTCAGCTGAGACTGGAGCACGATGCCGTCGCGGGGCGGGTCGAATCGAGGGTGGAAGTAGAGCTCCCCGCCTGTGAGGGATGAGATAATGCCTGGATAGACATCGATTCTCAACTCTGCCTCACTTCAGATGACAAAGCGGCCCTCACCTACGGAGGCTACATCGATGGGCCTATTCATGCCCAAAAACATGCTGACACCGATACCTTCTTCGGCACATTGCTGCGCGATGTCTTTCCAGGTGTTATCTCGAGGAGCAAAAAGTGTGTTTTCCTTGTCTGTGCCAAAGAGTGTTGACTCATCCACTTGTGTCTTCAATGCGCCGAGCCCAATTGTCGGGAGGACACCAGTGAAAACGACGACCTGTCCACCGGTGCCTGCCTACGTTCAAGCAAGGTGATTTAGTCGAAGATGCTCGCCGAAATTCCACGTACGAGAGAGGCTAGGCATGCCACAATAGCAGTGCCCAAAGCTGCTTCTGTATCAATCATCCGGGTGGTAGGTTTCCCGAGTGTAGAGAGCAAGGCCGTGATGGCGGGTCTGTAGAGCAACTGAATAACCTCTAACCACACACGGCGAGAACTCAACATACTGCGACCCTTGGGGATCTACGAAGAGTCCATCTCGTAGAGGGACGAATACATCATCTAAATCTGGCAACACGAGCATTACTGGCTTGTCGGCTACTCGTGACTAAACTTCCATATACAAGCCATGAGCGTCGCAATAGGTGGGGCAAGATGCAGATTGAGGCGTACAGATAGATCGTAGAAGTGCAACGTCCTATCAAATGTCACAATGCAGATCTTGCTCTCTGCAGGTAGACAGGAATCACCCTGATGGCCCTCTGTTCCTGACTCGCTTTGACTGTAGAGAAGATCCAGCAAACTAGAGCACGCGGAATGTGTGAATCCAGATTGAACTGCCTCCAGCGAGACGTCGAAAGCGAATATGTAGTTCATTGGCTGTGGCTGTCTCCGCCCGGACGTGGGTAACGGCATCACAGACTGAAACAAGGGTTCCATCCTCAGCGGAGAGTGAGGCGCCCAGTATTCCTCTGGAACTACGAAGTCGACGGTGCCCTTGTTCAACTCTGGTCGCTGCAAGTGGTCCAGCCGGGTCAGGTTCGCATCCAGGTTGCAAAAATACTCCGGAGCGACTTTGCGACACACATCAATGTCACACAGCGTATAATTAAAAGTAGGGAGAGTAGCTGACCTGCAGTTTCATGGGTGCACATATTGCACGTCCACTTCATGCCCCCGTCTACCCACTTGCACCACGGATTGATGTAGCCACGGCAGCTCGCACAACGCGCAGGCCCAATATCCCCAGTGTCCACAACCGGAATCTCTTCCTCACGAGGGTCTTGATCGGCAAATGGCTGTACGACAGCAGCAATGGGAATCCGACAGTCCGAAGCAAGGCGAGACGTGCTGGGAATGTTCCAAGTAGATATACGCAGGAACTTGGGAGACGAGTTCCCTGTATAGGAGCATAAGAAGCATTTGGCTAAGGGCGAAACGGCCTACCTTGATCAATAGCGACATAGTCTGTGGTAGACAGTGGCACATGACCACCAGGTAGAGTGCCGTAAGTCTGGTCCTCCCATTGCTCTCTATCACCTTCGATGGTATCAATTGGGGACGGTATGGACTGTGGGTCGATGGCGGCGCGCAGGCCTAAGATAGAAAGTCATGAAGGAAAGGAAAGGAACAGAAAGAACAGACATGCCTTTGAATGCTAGCCCGGCACTATGAGGTGGCTGAGGAATGGGGGAAAGGGGAGTCGACGGTGGATTCATAAGCGCATCGACTTGTCCTCTCGGTACTTATATGAATGGGCGGAAGAAAAGGCGGCGCTGTGAGCAAGCCAGTAGTCGTATAGCAGCTTCAGAGCAAGTCGACGCCTGAACCCGCTGCAGTGGCTGCGGTGCCGCTCGGTCGGTAACCAGCCACTGCACACGTGGATTTGTTTGGCAACAGCTCGCGATCCAAATAGCGCGCGTGCCAGAAAGATCAGGCATTTTCAGCGCGATCGGTCGCCTGAGTTTCTTGCTAGCTCATGATTCAAGATGAGCCTGATGCCCAGGGGAGAGGTCAGGTATGTGCACATCGATATTTATCCGCTGTTCTACCCCGCTGCACGCTCCGTGAAGGTTGTAGACTCGTACAAGGAACCGCCAAATTTCGATCTCGTGTCTTCAAAAGCCTTCCTATGCGGGGCAGACGAGTTGATCCGGCTGGTCCAGGCTCACGTTCGCGATGAGTATGCAGCCAAACTGGCGGCGTGTGGGCAGGAATATGAGCAGCTCCAGCAACAGACTACAGCAGCTCTTGCGGCGGCCAACACCCGTGCAGATTTGGCCGAGGCGCAAGGGCGAATCAGCGTCTTGGAAGCAGAGGCTGAGTCCGCGGCTGCGGCCGCAGAGGTGAGGAAGCTCCAGGAAGTACTGATGGCTCGTGAGCGAGAGGTCCAGGAATGGAAGGACCGTTGTGACGCACTCGAGGCCCAGATTAGAATGAAGACGGAAAGTGAACGGGACATGCTCAACTGGAAGGAACGCTGTGCCGCACTGGAAGGCGAGCATGATCGGGTGGTATCCGTTGCGCGGGCGGAGAACCAGCTCCTTCGCGAGCGCATTTCCTCACTTGAGGCGGACCTGTCGAGTCTGCGACCGACGTCGGCCTTCGTCCACGACGACTACAACGACAAGGACGATTGTCTTATGTTTGATGCCAACGACCAAGGGCTCTTCGACTCGAGCGGCTCATACGTAAGGAAACAACTATTGCTTTCACCCGACTCGTTTTCTGACGATGCATCACTGGAAGTCCAGCACGAAAAAGCAGGACCAGAGTGCGTGATGACCCAGGCGCTCTTCCACGAGTTCATCGACAACGAGACCTTCCTCGAGCCCGCCAACGATGCAACGCACGAGCCGCTGTGCAGGGCGTCACCAAGGGCAGCGGACTGCGCGGCGCCCGACTCGTTCTACCCGCTGTCCGGGACAACCGCTGTGTCCACCCCTCCCCCGCATCCCGCCGCCGCTTCCTCTCCGCCCGCGAAGTCTATATCACCCGAAATCAAAAATCGCCGGTCCAGCGTAGCGCAGCACCACCCTTCGACGAGCGCGCGACAGCTCGTCTTCCGCTCGCCTCTACAAGCGTACAAGTTCAGACGGCCGTCCAACAAACTGCGCGCGTCTCCTATGGACGAACATGAGTCCGAAAACGGTTTCTACGTTCGCGGCTAATCAGGCCGACGAACAATGAGAGAGTCTGTGTGTCGCAACTGCTGCTGGCACGCTGCGTTCTCATCTAGCCGCATTATTCAAGTCTGTGGACCAGACCCGTCGTAACGTCTTGGTTGAGTTTGGTACGTGCTCAGCCGAGCCGCCAGACGTGAGGCCCATATTCACTTACGTTGAACTTGCAGATCGCGGACTGTGTCGATTTATGATGCCTGATCTGCGCGGACGATCGGTTCGGTGAGCTTTTCCACATGATCGCAAACGCGTCTCGAGTTTTCCCGTCTATTGCAACTGCCTTTAATTCATGTCGGAGTGCGTTCTTGATGTAGCCATAGTTTCCGGATGTCTTGCCTTTTGTTTTTTTTCATGTACACAGCCATTGCGCACAGATACCAGTGTCCGGACCCCTACCCATCGTACCACCGCTCGCGCACGTACACAAGGCCGTCGCCTTGCTATATTCACCACAAGTCGCGTTGTTCGCTCTAACCGAGAAAGCTACAGAGATCTCGAAGGTGTGATAATTATTCGATACAATCGTCTGGCACGCCTAGAGGCGGCCAATGTAATAATTTCTGCGGTGCTTCGTGTCGCCAACCGTGCAAACCCAAGCCTGAGATGAATATAAAATAATCGTCGCAGTGCACATCGATAGCAGGAGGAAATCCAACACACCACGCGTACATCATGCTAAATAGGTCATCGCTGAACCCGGAGGAATCGAGAGAAGTACTTGTAATACAGCTAGTATACAATCTGTTCGTGAACGAGTGGACGAGCGTCGACGCGCTGCTGGTCTGCATCATGATGCCGAGTCGCAAGGCGAGTTCAGCAAGCTCGGGCGAGGGTGCGAGATGACGGTATCTGGGGGGGTGAGGGGACTGAGGGAGTGTGTGGTCATCGGAGACGAGTTGGTCGTGAGCGGGCTCCCGTCTGCAAATTGCGACTCCGGCGATATGGGGCTGGGTCCGTCAGTTCGTATCGTTGCTTGAGGGGGGATCGACTGGAAGCCCCCCGGGCCAGGATTCCACGAGCTCCTGTGCCAGCTTTTCTTCTTGCGCACACTCACTTTGTACGCGGCGCGGATGGCGGCCGTCGCGTCGTGCGCTTGAGTGCTATAAGAGCTCACAGACGACGAACTCGGCGGTCGAGGGGGCGACGTCGGAGAGATCATTTCGATATTCGGTGACCGCGACGTGGGTGACACTGGCTGATGGACGGATGAGAACGCGAATGGGGAGGGAGGGCCGGATTCGCAGGTCTCATAGTGGCTAGAGACGGATGATCCGGAGGAGTGAGAGTCTGACGCGGAACGATGGGTCAATGAGTCCTCCGAGCTGCGGAAGGACTCGGGGAGGGTCGGAGGGAAGGCGGAAAGGAAGCTTGCGACTCCTGGATGAAAGGTGAAAGGCGGACTGGCAGCTGATCCAGCGGGCCCAGCGTGTGCCGAAAGTTCTGCCGTGCGTGTCTCCCACGTCGCAAGGTTGTCTCGACACTGCCGAGCAAACTGCTCTAATTCTGCAAGGCAGGAGAAAGACAATGACACACAGTCGGAATGGGCCATAGGTTTTCCATGCTCACCAGTTATACCCTTGGCGACAAGCTCGAACAATGGACGCGCAAACATGCTGATGAACCAGACCTGGCCTCGTGCCTCACCGAGTGCGTCATCTGAAGGTTTTACGGTAGCGGGGAGGTGCAAATGTCGTTCTAGAAGCAGCTGGCAGCTCCACTCGCTCTCAAGCGCAGTCACCCAGTGCTTCGACACACCATAAGGACGACACTGGGAGGGGAGGCGCGATGAGCGAAAAGGCGTCGGGTGAAACGAGAGCGCGCTCACGGGATTGCTGATGTCCGCACACTTTATCAGCGCCTGACATAGCAGGACTTTGCGCTTGTGCTCGCCCACCTCTCCACCGGCGACGAGATCCGCAAAGTTTGTCATGAACTCCTGGTGAAGGCTGAGATCCGTGGCGAGGACAGTGCCGAGGAGGAGCTTGCGGAAGAGTGGTCCGGAATTTGGCCGGTCGAGGAGAGAGCCGAGGCCGTTGTGTCGCATGAGCTGGAGAATGAGGGAGTAGTGCATCTGCTCGAGGACGGACTTGTCGTCATAGACGACCGCGAGAGGGGTCTTTGCGTTTTTCTGGGAAAAAAAAAAGAGACAAGATTAGCTGGTCAGTAGCCGAAGAGATTGATGGGGTGAGTAATTAACCATGAAGGCGTTCGTGAGTCCTGGATGGCCGACATCATGGCCGACAGCCGCAATCGATAGTGCAAAGAGATCTTCGGCGGTCAGGCAAGATAGTAGACGATCGCTCGGATTTAATTTATCTCTTTCCCAGCTCCGGGCGTCTGCGTGCAACAGTATGGATACAGGAGGCACCATGCCCGCGCAATACAGGAAGTGGTAGGTTGCCTGAAATACATCCAAGGCGTGCTGGAAGTTATGATAGGAGTTTCCCTGACGGTAGACCTGGCGCAGATGGGAGAGAAAGGAGGCGAGACGGGCTGAGGGTGATCGAGTGAGCGGGCAAGGGCAGATGAGGAAGCGAGAGGAAGACTAACCGAGGGGGACGCCGACCGCATCCTCCATGCCCTGAATGCGGAATAGCGCCTCGAAGAGGATGTAAGAGCACGCGACGATTTCCTCTTCGGGGAGCTTGTGCGGCTCGAAGTTCCATGAAGACAAAGACAGCACGAGGCGATGTCGCGTGGTCTGGTCGAGGGCTGTGAAGGGGGGGCTGGGGGGCTGGGGGTGAGTTGGAGGACGGGGAGGAAGGAGAGAGGGCTCGGACTGACGATTGGACGGACTCTTGGTGGACGATGGTTTCGGTATGCGCTCGGACGTCAATCAGAACTTCGGCGTAACTGCGCGAAGAGAGTGATGAGGACATGAGGTAGAGAGTGACAGCTTCCATACCGCGTCCCGCCATACTCCGTTTGCTCCCACCCTCCCCAGCCATGGCCCGATCCTTCTTCGCTGAGTGCGAGCGCGAGACCGCCTACGTCCACGCTTCGTCGCCGACCGAATACGGCGTCGTCCATTCGTGCGGTGGGGGGGAGGGGGGGTGCGGGCGTGTTTGGGGAAGCGAGAGTTTTGCAAGTGGAATGTGAGCAGGAAGTGGGCAGCGAGCACGGTCGTCGTCGGTGTTGGCGAGGAAGATGGAGAGAGCGGTGCGGCTGTGGGTCGCGGCAGAGTTCCCGCGGCGGCCGTCGAACAGCACTGGGGGGGGGGCCAAGCACGGGCGCGTGGCAAAATGAGTCGGAGAATCAATGCGCGGTCGCGCCACGTGAAACACTTTCAAGTTGCTCCGAGGCGCCAAGCTGGCCGGGCTGCCGACGTCGACATGCTGCGGGACAGAGATGCTGCGGTAAATCAATGTTTGACTCCCTCGACAGGCTTGTGGGGGGATGGCGGGGCGCTCACGTGAAGTTTGCCATGTACCAGGGGATGAATGAGTGTCCCCTGAGGGAAGAGGACAAGTTTCAGATCACTGCATGTGGCTGGGTTGTCCGAGATGTGCGGACTCGAGCGCGGATGGGCCGCGAGACATTAGTGAGTGTGTACATATGTTTCCGATTCCACAGCCGCGCTAGTGCCCGCCGCCCTCGATCACAGCCTGGCGGGCGCGCACCGCACGTGGCTCGTGCACGATCGACAGTTTCAGTCGGAACTTCAACTCCAACTCCTCCAACAACCTGGCAGCCAGGAAAGACTCGTGTGGCATCGCGCTGTGTCCTGCAGTGCGCCGCGGACGGAGCGTCGAGCCCGTCTTGCGCTTGCGTGGGTCGAGCGTTGTGCCTCGCAAATGGGACCATGACGGCGTCAGACAGGTTCTTGATCTTCTTTGTCCAACCACCCCCATTCGGTTAGCAGTGGCCACCACAGTAATTGCCCGCCTTTCAGCCAAGCTCCACCTGAGCAGGGCGCACCGTCGTCTGCCCCTCTTTTTACCCGTAAACGAGCCGGGTCCTGTCGATGCTGGGTCCCTCCGACGCGCGGGAACGCCTCCTGGAAGGACCCTCGCGCATAGACCACGCTAGGACCCCCTCGCAGACGTAAAGATATGTCCACACGCGCACGGTGTCTCGTCCACAAGGTTTGCGGCATCTCCCAGCCAGGCTGCGGGGCCCCTCCTGCAGAATTGGTGTGGTGAGCTGCCCTCTCCACTCCTCGGATGTATTGCACTGACTGCAACAGACATGCCCTAGTGCATCCGCCGTGCACACCCAGAGTCTGTCTCGCACCCACCGTTCTCGCGGCCTCACCTCGAGCGCCCCGTGTCCCCAGCGGCCACTTCCCACCCGCGACCGTCTCTGCCAACGAGGACACACCTGCCAAAGATCTCGCCTTCGGACGTCTCCGCCCACCCACAACCCCTTCTCTTCTCGCACGTCCGCACGCCCGCCAATCCGCGCCCTCCCCCGGGGCGACGGTGTTCTGCGGCTACCGCGCCCACCGGCCGTGCACCCGTCACAGGGCTCCC